GCTATGTAACAAGGAAGGGCAAAAAAAAAAAAAAGTGTTGCACCATGCAAGAACATCCGACGACAACCCCATGCAGTATGTGTCCCCGGGGTCATGATGCAGCATCGCCAACCCAGCTATGTGGCAAACACCACCACAGCCACTGCTGGAAACCCAGATAGCGTCACTGACAAAGAAAATCCGCAGCATCGTGTCCAAGACTTGGCAGTTTCCAGCCTGCCTGTCTGCCCACGGCGCGTCCGGGTCCCATGATGGGTGGCACGATACCAGGGCTCAGCCTACTCGGTGCTGAGCTACATACCAAGCAGCGGCGAGCTCTGGCTGCCCCAAGCGTCCGCAATGCGTATATTTCTGCTGAATGGGACGAGTTACGCATCGGCAGCCAAGAAACGTGCGTACGTCGCCGCGTTCCCTCTCCCCAGTCTCAACCCACATGTCTTCCCTCTCCCGCCTTCCAGCCCGAACGACCCAGACCTGCTTGTTGTCCGGCACAGTACAGCGCCGAGAGACACGAATTCTCTTGTCTTGAAGGAGACCAAGGATCCCCTCTGTCAGGAATGCCCTGCTACCCAAGGGCGCCTGCGATAGCAACGCTAAGAAGGCGATGTGGGTGTCTTCGCCCCACGACCTGTCTCAGCGCGTAGAGTTGGGCGGAAAGCTGGGATCTGTATGTTTACCAAAAATTGCCAGGATTATTTGCTCGCCGGCGGCTTAGACTGACTTGTGTTTCTAGCTATAATTCCCGTCCTTGTCCGGCCACCTCCCTCTGCACCGTTTGAGGTTTAAGAATCTGCTTATATCCACGAGCTTTTCTCCGTCACCAAGCAAGATAGCGTTTACGTCTCATGTCGCTCAAGGGGACATCAAACAAGCTGACTTAAAACAATATATGCTTGATCACTGCATCTGACGACACCAATACGCCAAAGAGCTGTGTCCAGCTGCCAGCCATGGATCGATCCTATGGCAAGCTGGTAGACCTCACTCTCGTATCGAAATACTACCCCGTGGCCAATTACTCATATCCCCGCAAGGATTCTACATCTCCCACTTCCGCCACCTTCTCCTGCAACTCACGATACTCGTCGAATAGCTCTAGCTCTTCCCGCGGAAGGGAGTCACTGGGCTCGGAGGGTTCCGCGCCGGGATTGATAGAGGACCGAACCGACTCTGAGGTTTCGGTGGATGACGACTATCAGTATCATGCTCATACCGCCGAGTTGTGGGATAGCTTTTGGCCGCACCACGAGAGCACCAAGGCCAACCACGATTCGTTCTCTGTCCCAGACAAGCAATATCCGGCATTGATACCTTCTCCCCGCGTGAAGAAGCAGTACATGTGCCTTGGCGAACGGATTCCACCATCATGGCCTCTGGCAACCGCCTCAGCGGCGCCGTCTCGTACACAAACAAGGAAAGCAGCCGCCACATATTCGCCGTTTCCAAAGCCGCCGTCTCCGCCTCCAACCAAAAAGTTGCCATCTATTCCTGTATCAAAGGACAAGAAGCCTTCAAGGCCATCGATTTCAGGCGGCCGTACACCAGTGAGACCACCTCGACCCGCGGAGACTGTCTTGACTCCTTGCATGCAACACATTGGCTTTGTACCCGTCAGTACTGCGGTGGCCGACTACATAATCCAAGACCCGAGTCCAGTCGCGCCCATCGACTGTCGCAGGCCGAGAACATCTTGCGGTCAAGGTCCCAGAAAAACCGCGGATGAGGCATCTCTCAATCGTCTTTCTCACTGCACCATTTACTCCGTTATTTCCCACTCAGCAACTCATTTACCTGCCCCAGAGATCCGGCCCTCCCCGCCCCGTGCTCCTAGACACTTCAAGTCCCTCGCGGCGCTGCCTCGTGTCCAAACCGAACAGATGGAGCAGGAGCCTCACTCTGTTTTCGAAGATGACTCCGACTGCGAGGACGGGCACTCGCGCAAGTTTTTCAGCTTCCACAAGCGCTCCGACAGCACTTACAAGCGAAGAAGGAACCGGTCAAACACAACGCCAGCGGCTCAGCAAAAATGCGCCGACAAAGATGACATCCGCCCCCTCTCATCCACCTCTACGCACCAAAAGCGTCACGGACATGATGTTTTTGGACGTCTTCTTGGGCGGAGGAGTCGGTAACCGCACTATCAAGATTCGCTGTAACGACTTTTTTTTAATTTTTATTTTTTTATATGTACTGTGATGGCACCTCACGATGCATGGGCGGGAGTTTTGAATTACCGTGTTGTTCCTTCATGTCACGATGTACCACGACCCATGAAAGTACCACAAATTATGAAAGGAGCGAAGTCTCATGTCTTTCTTTCTCTTTGTGATCTTTGTCTTTGACAAGCTTTACGATTTTTTCCTTTGTTACTTATGCCCTTTTTCTTTTAACGATTAAGTGTATGTCAAACTTGGTTGGGGG